TTTGAAAATTTATCATAGTACTACACCTTTTCAAGATGTAATTGAGAAAACAAAAATTGTAATTAAGAATCGTAAGATGTAATTGAGAAAACGTAAGTTGTAATTAAGAAACATAAGATGTAATTTAGAAAACGAAAATTGTAATTAAGAATCGTAACATGTAATTGAGAAAATGTAAGTTGTAATTAAGAAATAGAAAGATGTAATTGAGAACACGAAAATTTTAATTTAGATATCGGTTTAAAGGAGTAAGTGTAAAATGGCGCGTAAAAAAATCGAGCGTAGAATATGACGCACTTAAAAATGACGCAAGATTTGTAGCGTAAATTTAATTTTTTAGAGAAAAATTTAGGGAAAAATTTTTGGGCAAATAATTTAGGAAATAATTTTTGGGCAAATGAATTTAACATAATAAACACTAAAAACATTTTAGGGAAAAATTTATAATTTAATTAAAAATTATAATTAAAAATTATATAATTAAAAATCACTTCATTGATCATTTAAGCACCAACTTGTACGTCTTCCATATTTAAAATAGTTGCATAGTGCGTGGTTGTGTGTTGTACCGCACGTGCACAATCTCCTCCCATTATAGTATTTTTCGCCTCAATTACAATTCGTTCTAAGTACTGCATGCGCTGTTCCGCAATCCCGTCACCTAATACAGGTGGAATGCGAATTGCATTTTTAACGTTACTTTTAATTTTGGACCAGATCGTTTCCACCGGGTTCAACATTGGACTGTAAGGTCCCAAACGTAACAACTGAGCTGGTGAATTATCAAACACCCTTTGCAAACGAGCGTGACAAATTATCTGAGCATTATCTGTTACGACGACCAAATCCTCCAAACGATTCCCGGATGTAACCCACTGGTGAAACATAGCCAACATCCACTCGTTACAGGAATCTGCTTTAAATGATCCCCTGCGAGTTTCTATCATGACGACATTTGTAGTTGAAATAGCTGCGATCAAGTGTATGTTTAAACCTTTTGAAGCAGGTACTTTCATAACTGCTCTTTTTCCTTGTCTCGCGCGTCCTTGCGTTTTTCTACAAAAAAGGTTAAAATTTGTTTCATCCAACCAAACTATCTGACGACCATTTGTGATATGTTCGTTGATGTTTCTAACATATTCAGCTCTTTTTTGTTTGTTTTCATAACTGTTCATTGTAGAAGGCTCCTTGTGCACTTTTTTTAATGAGAACAATCTGCCTTCGAGGTAATTTGCTATTGTTGTTGTGCTAACGTTTATGTTAAATTGTCTTAATATCTTTGTTTTGATGGCCACCAATGTTAATTGACAATCATTTTCAATCCATGTTAATGTTTCTTCGATTTGATCTTTGGTCAACTTTTTCGGTTTAAAACCTCCTTTTCCGAATAAATTTGAATTGCGAACCCAATTGTATGCTGTCTTATATTTGATACCTAGCGTTTGCGCGAGATTCACCCAATCTTCAAATCGCTCCGCACATTCAACAACTCTTCTCCTGTCATTTGGAGAAGATAAAACGTAACGTTTCCTTTCAACTTGTTCGGTTGTGTGTATTTCATGCCGACAAATCGGACAACTTGAATCTGGTTGTTCCAGAACTGGACGTAAACAAATAGTGTATTGGCATATAACACAACGATCTTTCAATTCCATTATTATTACTTGTGCATACAAAAGCAAAATTTAAGATTATAACTTAAATTCATGTCCAAAAAGACCTTTTGTAACAACCTACAAACTTAGACTGTGAATTTGCTATTTTAATTTATGTGTTCTCAATTACAAGTTTCTCAATTTCTCAATTACATATTATGGTTTCTCAATTATATCTAACGTTTTCTCAATTACATGTTGTGTTTCTTAATTACATGTTACGACTTCTTATTTACATGTTGTGTTTCTCAATTACATATAACGTTTTCTCAATTACATGTTGTGTTTTTTAATTACATATTACGACTTCTTAATTACAACTTTCATGTTCTCATTTACATCTTGAAAAGGTGTAGTTGTATTAAAAGAAATGATAGTTTGTAATTTAAATTTTAAACAGTTGAGATAATGTAAACTTATAAAAATTTGTAAATAAATACTATTTTATAAAAAAAAAAAAAAAAAAAAAAAAATAAATGCATACGACTTTTAGTATCTTCTTTATTATCATTTTCAAATTCAAAAAAAACATACACTAAAAATATTAGTACTTAATCAGCCTTAGCGTTTTCTAGATCCTGTGTTTCTTAAATGACCGATCTGTCTTTCTCTAAGTTATCTTTCTAACTCTAATATATCTGCCTTTCACTAAAACATCTTCTTTTTCCCAACAATCTCAACCCGAACAAAGACCAGGGTGCTCAAAAAGGAGAATAGCTTAAATGTGCGGGAGATCTACTGGTTAAATGTGCGCGACCTGGTTAAATATGCGCCCGATGTTATGAGGTACTCCGCTAGGCAATTAGCTGGAAGAGAATAAATCACAATACCGCATTTACTTTATGAAAACCCCCCTGCGTTTCTCAAATGCAATTACATCTCATAGGTTTTCTTGAATTTTAACCCTTTAAGACTCTCGTATTGTTTTTAAAATATGGTCGCTATTAGTCCAGCTTTTTTTTTGAAGTGGTCTCTAAATGTTCTGCGTTTTCAAAATCATTGTATTTTTTTACTAATAAAATAAAAAAAGTTTTTTACTATTTTTATGGAATGTTGTTATTCAAGTTTAATAATTTATTAATCATACATAAACACAAAATTTAAAAAATATTTTCACTAATATTCACTTTTTGTATGACAATTGGAAAAGCATGGAGCTGCACAAAGTCCTACATTACAATCTACACATGCATATCTTAAATCTTTTCGAACATTGTATTTGTAACATTCCACACAACATTTTTGAGCATTAATCTTTTATTAACATTTTCAATAATCAATAATTCATATAATTTTCAATAATTCAAATATATCTTTCATTATTGATTCATCAAATGTTTAATTTTCTATCTTTTCATGAGTAAATATTTACTTTTTGATAACTATTTTTGCACTGAAAGAAATTTCTTGTTTGTCATATTTAAAATTAAAGTGAACGTGTGTAAAAGTGAAATATTGAAACAAAAGCTCTGTAATTATGTAGTAATAAATTTTGTGACAAGTAGACAAATAATTACTGATGAACAAAAAGGAAATATAAGGAGATGCATAAAACCGTTATATTATGGCCTGGACATTTAGAAACCACTTTAAGTTTGCGTAATATTACAGGATGGACTGTTACGGTATGGACTGTTACAGGATGGACTGTTAACGGGTTAAACTAAATTCAAATTAACTCTTTTTCGAAAAATCTTCTTTTTATTTAAAGTCAAATCATTTTAAAGATTCTGTAATAGTGCTATTAATGTCATGTATTAATGAAAGCGAAAGAGTTTTAAATTGTATTTAAAAAATATTTTTTTAAACATTAAAGAGAATTTAAACCAAGTCAGTTTTAAAAGACTAAAAAAATTTTTTTATATGTATAAAAAATTTTTTGAAAGTGTGTACTTTATTTGAGTTTTTATAAACCCACAAGCAAAAATGTAAATAAAATGACACTTCTTATTTTTAGTTCTTATTATCTTAATGCCATGATAAATTTATCAATGTTTATTACTGTCTACTTTTTTCTCTCCACATTTGATTTCTAAGCCAGACTCAAGTCATTTACAATGACTGTCTATTAAATAATATATATAATCTAAGAATAAAAAAATAATTTTTAATTAATATATAAAAAATAATATAAAAAATTTAAATAAATAAAAAAGTGGTACCCACGTGGACTGCCTACTTGGACCCTAATTCACGCCCAGTGACAATTTTTCTTGGGTTGGATGTGGACAATCTATTTGGGCCCCATAAACCTGCCCCATGTAGGGCCCAATATGACTTGGCTGGGTAAGGGGACAAAAAATTAATCGATACACAAAAATCTCCCCGATAATGCTAATGTCATCCTAAGTATTCTTTTTTTGTAAATCTGTCCCTGTAAGTGATACTATAGGTATATATACATACATTACTTAAACTTAGAAAAAAAATTAAATAATAAATAAATCAACAATGAGCAAAGTAAGTAAAAGTCTAATTCTATATATATATATATATATATATATATATATATATATATATATATATATATATATATAATATATATATATATATATATATATATATATATATATATATATATATAAATATATACTTACATATATATAAATATATACTTACATATATATAAGTAAATACTTACATATATATAAATATATGTACATATTGACACTGGCCAAAAATTGGTATTGGTGCACCTTTAATATATATTTATATCTGTGTGAGTATATACACACAAATATATATATATATATATATATATATATATATATATATATATATATATATATATATATATATATATATAAATATATATATTTATATATATATATATATATATATATAAATATATATATATATATATATATATATATATATATATATATATATATATATATATATATATATATATATATATATATATATATATATATATATATATATATATATATATAAAAGAAAGTTTATTAAGCATTATTTCATGAAATTTTATAATTAAAAAAGTTTTAAAACTGTCATGTATAGAATAATTTATGTTAGTTAGTAGAAAAAACAGTTTGTTTAATAGAAAAAATGTTTAAAAGAAGTTTGTTCTAAAATTTTCTGGAAAAGATTGATAAATTTGTAGCATATTTAAATTAAAAATTTAATTTTAGCATTTTTATTCATTTTTACATATATAATTCAATTTTGTTAATTATTCTTTTTAGCTTTGTTGGAATAAGTTAAAAATTTTCGAAGAAAAATTGATTGCACATATACTTGAAATTATACATAGTTTGACTATTATATTAGTTTGATATTAATTGTAGTTAGAGTATTTATTATTGAAAACAAAACCTCTCCTTTTATTTTATTTGATCTATTTAGTATATTTTATTATATCTGGTTCAATTTATATAAGTTCATTTTTTGGTATGTGCTTTACATATGGCTGATCCTAACAATACAAATATTGCCACAATACTAAAAATTGAAGATAAAGAAGCTGGTGCTAGTTTTGCTCAGGTCTTTTTTTTTAATTTTTTATACTAGTTAAACTGTTAAAGACTTAGATCTGGTATATTTTTAAATATTTTTGTACTTAAATTATATATTTGTTTATTACTTTAAAATTTATTTTTTATTAAAATGTGTTATGAATCATAACTTATGACTTTATATCTCTCTTGAGATTTGTTGCGTTGTTAGATTTTTTATTGTAAAAAAAAAAAATTTGGTTGTTTAGAATTTTTCTTTTTTAAAACTCTTGAAAACTTCTCTTCATCTTTAAAATCTTCATCAAAATAATTCATCTGGCAAAAAGCTAAGAATATTAATCAACTTCATATCACTTACTGGTTATAAATATATATCCAATTTAATAACTTTTAAAAATGCGATTGAAATTCTTGCATTATGTTAAACTAAAAAACAAAATATTTTTGCAACATCAGTTAATAAAATGCAAAATACACACTGGCAAAATACTAAACAAATTAATACAAGCCAAAACCTAACAAGTGATTAAATCTTAAAAGCAGGAACAGCAGATATTTACTGCAATAAATCAAAAAATTAGAGATGCATTTTATCACTGACCAGTGACAGATGCATCTCTTTAAACCAGTTTAAACAAGTATGATAATATATAGACTACTAGCAAACAAGACCTTTGCACTAACATTAGCATTCAACAAAAAATCTTACTTCTGTAAAAACAATTACCATCTGCATAGTACTTGTCCTTCTCTAGATGCTGTTTGCCATTAAAGTCATAAGCAAGAACCCTTTTCTAAAGTGTGTAAATTAAATAGATCATTATCTATTATTGAATCTATTGCACTATTGGCAGTTATAAGTGCTGGGACCCTTAATTGCTTCTCCTATGCAATTTTGAAGGTGAAAATAAATGGGCAAAATCTTTCTATATTAATAGATATTGGAAGTTTAGACAACTTTGTCAAAAAAATTCACAGTCAATAAGTATCAAATACCATCAAATACAAAAAGCTTTGGCACTGTTTCAATGGCATCGGTATCATTCAGATTCAGAATTATACAGATATCATCTTGATGGTATTACCTGACTTATGATGACTGATGTTTTTGGTCCAGCTTTTACAAAACAGCATAGCAATATAACAATACCTTTTTGTACATTAAGTTTGTCATTTAGTCTAAAGAAATCAAAAATATCACCTGCAACATTATTTTAAAATGTTCAACATTTTCACTCAAGCAATTTGCAGATGCTTTTAAACTGAGGACTAACCCTGGTGCCTGCAACATACTTGTTACTGACCTATGAGATACTTTAGATAAGTGACTCACATGAAAACAACAATGTGCTATGAAGTTGTTAGCCTGCATAACAAGCAGTGAGCTATTTTTTTTAAACTTATTATTGTGTTTTAAAGTTAGCAACTTTAAAACACATAATATAAAGTCTAATGCATAGTGTATTGGTGTTAAGGTGTCATGTACTATCCACAATTAAGTTAAGTTCACTATTTGTTTAAAACATTGATAAAGTACCTATAAATATTAAACAAAATAAACCATTATTACCACCAAATTTTTTAAATCTACACTTGAATAATAGTTACAATATATGTGGTCTTGTAGTCAAAAATAACTAAAATAATGGCTTACAGCCTTGATGAATTTAATAAAAAGTTAGTATTACCTTGTTACCTTAATGGTAGTTAACTTAATAAAAAAAAGCTCTTAATACTAGTTTTTTATTTAATCCAATTTTTTTACAGAAAAAAATTAAAAGTGTTTCTGCTGTTTAAATTGTGCCTACATAAGATAATTAAATCAGTAATTGGAAATAGAATTTTCTAAAATAGTGTTATCAGTTGTTAAATTGAAAAAATGTCTAGGATTTTGTAGGCTAGAAGTAAATAATGGTAACTTGTGGTAATTCTTGTAATTAATTTCAGTATTTATTGCAGGCAAAGTGGTAAAAAAGGAATCAGGGGCGTTTACAGAAAATTTTTCGGGTAAGTCCAAAAAATAAATTTATGCCCCCCTCTGCCTCCCTATTTTTTAGGGAAGGGAGGGGGACCGGATTTTGATCGGATTGAGTGTATTTTATAAAAATGTTTTAATTCTTTAAAGGACTTGTAACATTGATAAAATGGTACCTAAAGCTCAAAATATGATTTTTGCAAACTAAAAAAATTATTTTTTGAAAATACTCAGTTGTCATAATGTATAATATATACATGTTAAAATTTTTTACAAGACTTGTGAATACAATTTACAAGATTGATACAAGATTTTGCTGTGTAAATTTTTTTTTGTAACTTTATAAATAACTTTTAATTATAAATAAACTTTATAAATACTTAAAGTCAAAAAACTTATTGCAATAACTGTACAATACTAAATGTTTTTACAAAGATGTCTGGCTATGAAAATAGCTGTTTAACAAAAAGCAGTTAAAACATTTGAAGTTATACTTTTATCATATTTGAATTTTATTTAAAACACAACTCATAAGTATTTATAACAAGCTTGAAAAAGTTTGTTGCTTGTAATGTTTCAGTATTATTAGATTAAAGTTAATTTTTGAAACTCAGGCAATTAAGTGAAGTTCAACTAAACTTCCCACAGATCAAATTTGAGTAATAAAGCCTTTGGTTTGGAAATAATAAATAAACCTAATAAAGCCTTTGTTTAAACAAAATACTAAAAAGTAGGATTTGGTCTTCCCAACTAGTATAACAAAATATTGAATTTCTGCAATTGTTTTTAAAAGAAACTGAATATTAGAAAGAAGAAATTAAAACACAGATGCTTTATAACACTTCAAAATTGTATCAATCAACCATTATGTTAAACTTAGTAATCTTGATAAAACTCAGATAGTCTAGCAAAGAAACAGCGATAACCAAGTTAAAATAATTTGAAATGCAATTTTTAGGCTTGTTTAAAGCATATTTGAAGGTGTTGATTAATAATATTTCTAACTATAGAGATAAAATATTTTAATGCTTGAATAAGATTTAAACTATAAAAGTTATCATTATTGCTTGCGTGCAAAATTGTGTAATTAAAAAAGTTATATTAAAAACATGTCTTGTTATATACAGTGCAACAACAAAATCAAAATTTGTTATTAACTTCAAAAGAAGAAGCAGTAGCAGAGGCATTAATGACATTTTTTAAGACAGAAAACCACAGGTATAAAAAACTTTTGTAAAGTATCCATGCCACAATTTCACATTTCATAACACCCAAAGAAAAGTCAGTAATAGCTTTTATGAAAATACTAAGTAAACAAGTTTTTTCTTTAATGTGGTTCATCATAGTTCCTATTATGATTATCATGATTCTCATAAAGGATAAACAATATGGCTAAATAAAATTCTACTTAAAGTCTAAAATCTTCTTCTTGATTATTAAAGAAAACCAAGGAGCAAATACTAGTTTTTATCGATGCAACTATAAACAGTATCTACTTGTAATAACTCTCTTCTTCTATTCTTGTATCCAAAGGATATCGTGATATCAAAAGTTCTACACAATTAAAGTAATATTCGGTTGCCTAACTTTAAATGAAATGATGCTTTTCTTTAACGTACTAACTTTTTCTTTAAAATGCTATTTAAACTTGTGAATTAAGCGACATTTTGAACTAATCATCGGCCATGTTATATGTTTAATAAAATTAATTAATTTAAAAAAACACAAATTAAGCAGGGTGTAAGGCAAAGGGGAAGTCCGAAATTTATTTTCCACATTTGAAACCTTTTCTCTCCTTATTTATTACTTAAAATGCAAGTTATTAAAATGATACACAGTCTAGTATAATAAAACTGTGGATGTCTATTGATATATTTTGATATATACTAGATATTACTAACTAATTTTACCTCCCAATGATAGTTTAACAATTAAACTTAATAAAAATTCTACTTAGGGTGTATGTCAAAAGGGAAGTCCAAAGTTTTTTCTAACTGAAATAATCATTTTGAATTTTTTTAAACCAATAAAAGAAAAAATTTTAAAAATAAAGTTTTATAAAACAAATAAAATTAGGTATATCAATTCAAGTTTCTAATTAAGTTATTTAACTCAAAGGTTAGTTTAACCTCCATCAAAATATAGTAATAATTATTTTTTAACAATCACAAAATTATAAAGCCGATATAGTATTTTCCAGTTTTTAATTTTTTGGAATTTGAATCGTTTTGTGGTTTTTAATTTTTTTTCCAACCGTTTCAGATAATTAACCACGCATAATTTGTTTAGTTTTAGCTGTAGTTTGCTTTTAATAGTGTATAGAAGATTTTTTTCAACAATATATGTACCACAGGGGTCAGTTTTAGGACCACTGCTGTTTTTGATTTTTATTAATGATTTGCCAGGTCAAGTCAAAAACCCTATTAAACTTTACGCTGATGATAGTAAAATAATAAATATTATAAAAAATCCTAATGATTCAATAAGCCTTCAAAATGATATAAATAACATAATGGCATGGTCATCTATTTGGCTCACAAAATTTAATTATGAAAAATGCAAAGTTATGCATATTGGGAAAAAAAATCCAAATGCTACATTTATAATGACTGATATTGATTGCAATTACAATTATACATTGTGTAACACAAAAGCTGAACGTGATTTGGGTATAATGGTTCAATCCAATTTAAAATGGCACTCACAAGTTGATTCAGCAACCAGCAAAGCAAACAGAATGTTAGGTACCATAAAGAGAAGCTTTAAATATTTAGATGTAAACATGGTAAAAATGCTCTATACAACGTTTATACGTCCACATCTTGAGTTTGCGGTCCAGGCATGGTCTCCATTTTTAAAACAAGACATAGACAAGATTGAGAAAATCCAAAAAAGAGCAACCAAACTAGCACCTACAATTAGGAAATTATCATATGAGGCTAGGTTGAATATTATGCAATTAACGTCACTGGAAGAACGTAGACTACGTGGAGATCTGATTCAACAATATAAAATTCAGCATGGCCACGATAAAATAAATTGGGTTGCTAACGATTGTGGAAATGCATTGGAGGAGGGTCCATGTCTGCGACAACACAAATTCAAAATGAGGAAGCCTTTTAGCAGAAATACCTTCAGGTATCATTTTTTCCAAAATTGAGTTTTAACAGCGTGGAACAGCTTACCATCTGAAATAATAGAAGCTATTTCAATAAATAACTTCAAAAACAAACTAGGCAGAGCTGGATTTTGCAGAAACTATTTGTTAAAACACAAACAAAAGCAAAATGTTATTGCACTTCGCAACTGTTTAAAACAATTGTTACAGTTATACCTTATTATTAATATAATCAAGTTGAAAAACTTTTATTTAATTTTTTTTGGGTACGTCCAACGACGTAGCAGACACCCCCTAGACACGCCCCTGGAAATATTAAGTATAATGAAATCATTTATTTCTATTCAATAGCAAATTCATTTAAAACAAACAAAAATTTATTATTTTGTAGAATTTTCTAAGGTTTGTAGTAGTAGTATTGATATGTTATTAGAAATTCTCAATTTATAATGATTGGATGTTTGGAATTCCTTGCTTGGATAATTAAATTATACTGCAAATAGTTGTCCTGATAATAATAGCTACACAAAAATGAGACAAAATACATTATCTTTTGGAATTTGTTGCGTTTGACAAAAAAATTTTTTAGGATTAATTTTCAAAAAAATGTTCCTTGTTTTTTGTATTAGCATAGTAAACATTTGATTATTTAGTGACATCTTTTTTCTGTATTAAATAAAGTGAAAAGTCACATTTACATGTGAAGTTAATTACCTCCAACATAGTCTCTAAATAAAAATACTATTTATGTCAATACTTGTTGGTTTATCTTAAAACTGATTTTTTAATTAAAAATTGATTTTTAATTAACTAGGTTATTGATATTGACTTAATCAACAACAAAGACAATGAAGTACACGATGTTCATTTTTGTGATGTTTATTTAAATGATGTTTGTTCAAGACATCTTAATAAAGATTTATTAAAAATTGAAGGTACTTATTATTTTACATAACTTAATGTAATTTTAATGTTTATATTAATGTAAACATTACAGATTGTTAGTGAGTATTTCAATAATTGTTTTTAAATTAAAATTTTTATTTTTATTGAAAATATAGCTCATCCAGGGTTTATTAAAAGCTAGTTGTAATTTTTTTCAACAAGAAAAAGAATAGAGAATTAAATATATATTACCAAATCAATTTTAAATTTGTTTTGCATTTAAGCATGTCTAGGCAATTTGTTGTACCTTGTAATTGCTCAGCGCCTCAATTCCTTTTTTTTTTAACAAGTCAAGTTTATTATTTTAGTTTATTAGTCATGGTTAATACAACCATTACCGCCAAGTTTGAAGTGTTTTACCTCCATTTGAATTTCATATGTGGTAAACTAAAAGATCTGCAATCTTATTTTCAATTATTAGGAAGTTGTTAATATTGTAGCATACTTATGTACACATAAATATTTTTTTGTATGCTAATATGTAGCCTATATTATCTCAAGATATTTAAGTTGACATTTAGAATATCTATAAAATAAATGTTCAAAATTGTTTTATACATAATAGAAAGTTACAGTTTTTAAAATTAGTGTTGGAAAAAATTTATATATATTTTAAATTGAACTCAAAAGTGATTTTTATGACAACAAACATATAATTATTGAATCAAACTGATTAGTTAATTAAATTTTTAAATTATGAAATAAAGTTTATTAAACTTTAAAACTTTTAAATTGAATAAGCATTGTATATTTTGTGTTAAAAATTTTAATTTTTTAAATTTCTTGATTAAAAATGCTGTTTACATTAAACTGGTGTAGTTACAATAATTTAAACTTTTAAGTTTTATTGTGTTTTATTAATTTGTTATATTTCCCTTAGTCCTTCTTTCTTATAATTCAGTAAAATTTCTTTGTATTTTAGACATTCAAAACAAAGATATTGGAAATGAAAAACGACAATATAGTCGAGAGTTTTTACTTCAATTTCAATCTGCTCCAATATGTTCTTTAAAACCTCTAGGACTACCTGACATTGATATTGTACTAAATGAACCACATGATCCCACTAAAGCTTTAAGTCCTGGAGAAGCTCTAATTACTAATGACTTCATACCTAGTTATATGAAGCCAATAAGAAACCCTTTAGAAAATGATAGGTTCAAAGGAAATGATTTTAATAAAAGATCAGGTGATAGAAATACTTTCATCATTGATCTACCAATAGTAAATCTGCAAAATTTAAAAAAAGTAAACTCTTCTAAAATGCTGAAAATTTTGACAGAAGAGAAAGAATTAAGAGAAGTATGTTATTTTAATTTATTTTATTTTGTATTATTTATATTTTAATTAATTATATTTACATGCATTTGTTAAAGAGACCTGTGTACATAGGACACTTTTATCAAGGCACAAAAGCTGTGACTCTAGGTTGTTTAAAATTGTAAAACTAATATGGTGAAGCTATTATACTAAACACTTTCTGTTGATAATTACTAGAAATAAAAAAATATGCTAAATAAAAGAACCTTTATTTTGTTAAGGCTAGGTAAAATTTGTTTTTAGGCAATTATTCTTGGAATCTGGTGTATCATGTAATCTTAGAATTTTTTAAAAATCATATCATTAACTATAAAATAATCTATAATTTAAATAACAATCTTTAGCTTGATGTTTTGCGTCTATAAATTTTTTTTTGATGCACTTTTTTTGATATTTTGCAATTCTCAAAAACCCTCAGTCAATTTATGTACATGAATACACCAGGGTTAGGATTTCCAATTCTAACCAAAATCTTTAGTTGATGTATAGGTACTCCTTGCATGTTCTCCATATTTAAGTCAGTTAATGTACATGCACTCTGCTGCAAACTCTCCCTATTTAAGTTTATCAATGTATATACAAAAAAAAAAGAGACAAAAATAAAGAATGATATAGCAAAGAAATAAAATTATATATATATATATATATATATATATATATATATATATATATATATATATATATATATATATATATATACATATATATATATATATACATATATATATATATATATATATATATATATATATATATATATATATATATATACATATATATATATATATACATATATATATATATATATACATATATATATATATATATATATATATATATATATATATATATATATATATATATATATATTCATTCATTTATATATATATATATATATATATATATATATATATATATATATATATATATATATATATATATACATATATATATATATATATATATATATATATATATATATATATATATATATATATATATATATATATATATATATATATATATATATATATATATATATATATATATATATATATATATATATATATATATATATATATATATATATATATATATATATATATATATATATATAAAGGGAGAGAGAGATTGTAGAAAGCAACAAAAAAATAAAAACATTAAACACAAAGAGGTGTTAAGAGCCTTTTTTTACCATAAAGGGTGTACAATAGTCATTAGTATAGGTTGTATGTATGTATGTATGTTTGTATGCATGTATGTATGTATGTATGTATGTATGTATGTATGTATGTATGTATGTATGTATGTATGTATGTATGTATGTATGTATGTATATATGTATGTATGTATGTATGCATGTATATATGTATTTATGTATGTCTGTATGTATTTTCATCATTAAATACAACTGCTTAAAGGCTATATAGCTTATTAGCAACAATTTATGTATTAAGGGGTATACATTATATTCATCCTTTGAGAAGTACTTGTTATATTCATTTATAAAGGGATAAATATTACAATAGTTTAATTAGTAATCCAGGCATGGTCAGGAAGCGGGAGCGATCGCTCTTAATTGTTGACCATGGAAATAATATTTAGTTGCGAAAAGCTGACCAGATTTTTTCGTGGTTTTAAGAGCATTTCCAAAAGAAAAAAAAAATGCGCAAAAGACTAATTGAACCAATGAGAGACAATTACAAAAAAAAAAAAAATTAGGAATCTTTAAACGCAAAAAAATCTAAAGCAAAATACATTCTGTTTAGAATAAATATTTTTGAAACATCGCTCTTTTATAATTTTTTCATAAAATTAAGCAACATTTTTTATATAAAGTAACATCTTACGATTGTTTAAAAAGGAAACAATTATTCTTTATTTAACAAAGAGTGTAATATAATTTTTATCTATATACTCGTGTCTTATTTCCAGTGCTAGATTAAGGAGGGTTGGGTTTAGAGGAGGCTATAGCCCTAAGCTCCGCAATGTTAGGGCCCCAAAAAAGTCAAGAAGACGTTTTTGTTTAGTCATTCTTACGCTGTGGCGCATATAAAGGCATTCAAAATAAAAGTAGCCCCCTGCCCTGAAAAGTCTAACAAGATTCTAATAAAACTAATGTAAGTTTTAGTTTTATCTTAGGTAAATTATTTTATAAATAAAAAAGTTAATTTTTTTAATACCTATTTTATGCTTCGTGTGGTTTGAAAAGTTTAACATATTTGAAACAATTCTTCTTAGTAAGATAAACAAATGAAATAATTAAATCATTGAATTACTATAGAAATTAAATTAACTAGATAGAAATCAATTAAAAATATTTTATGACGAGGAAACAAAACTGCTTCACAATATCGCTGAAGATGTTTAGCGAGTGAGCTTTTTAATTTTAATTAGTATTTAAAGCAGAAAAAAGTATAACGAGTTTTAAAGAATGACAACTGAAGCGAAAATAATTAGAGTTAGTAAACAATTATCTAAAAAATTTTCTTTATATCTAATAACTTGCTATATTTGTGTACTGTCGTGACTTCAGGCGCGGTGCTTGTTCATCTGCAAGTTACTTTGTATGCATTGTTTGTGTTTAGTAACCAGAAACTTCTTATAGTTTGTTACATAATTAGTTCTATTAACTTTAATGATTATTAATAACTTAATTGAAAACGTAATTATTTTTGTAAGTCTTTAAATCAAGTGAAAAGTGCAGATGAGTTTCAAACTATACACAATACTTAAATTTCTCTATAAAACTTTTATAATTAATAATTGCAAAAGCTTAGATAATGGTGAAAACTTGTGAAACCACCAGGGGCTATTCTAGACTGCTTTCGACAGCGTCAACAGTATTTAGGCGCCACCCAAATTAAAATTTGAGGACCTTTTTTTTTTTAACATAATGTTCTATTAACATCTTTATATTGCTTCTAGATATATCCATAAATATATATATATATATATATATATATATATATATATATATATATATATATATATATATATATATATATATATATATATATATATATATATATATATATATATATATATATATATATATATGTATATATATATATATATATATATATATATATATATATATATATCATATAAGCTCATATATAATTTTATATAAACAATAAATAGGCTTTTATTTTTTTATACAGATATATTCAAAACATAAGTTAGGTTTTTGTCACTGCTAGTTATTTAAAAAATGGTTGCCAAGCCAGCACTGGATTTAGGTAACTATGTGTATGGTTGTAAAATGGAATTAAATTAAACTCAATAGCATCCATAATATTTTTAAGAATCCTGATTACCCCATTGTAAGTATGCTGCATAATCAATCGCTTGTGCCAACATTGTAGTAATGAAAGTACAAAATAAATTTGCATTCCAGCCTGCAGTTTTTATTTTATAAGCCAGCACTCCCATTGTTAAAACAGCACAAATCAAACTAACATTGCCACAATTTGCAGACAACTGTAAAAGTGCTGGTGCACCTCTTAGTGAATAACCATATATGCTGTTGGTGTGCACATTAAATTCAGTTTCATTCAAATAAATAAGTCTTTTATTTAAATTTTTATTTAAAATTCTGTTATTTTTGTTTACAAATGCATAATCTGCATCAATAACTCGTGTTAAATTTTGTTCTTCTGCACATGCACAGCATGCTTTCTTGATAAATCCGTGCCTTTGAGTTTTCTTGAAATAGTAGGCTGAGACATGTTGAAGCTTGCTGAAAAAAGACTTTTTTTTATTGCTTCTTGCATACAAAGATTGTTTTCTTGTATGCATAATTCAATAATATTTTTTATTTGAGCGTTTATAGGTTTTTTATATCATTTTTTATCAGAAAACAATTTGAATGCAGTCATGTTGTTGAATTTTCTTCTGTTTAACTTAAAGACAAGGTTTTGAAAAGTGCACTTAGATAAATTAAGAGAAGTGGAAATGCTTGTTGTAGATTCATTTCTTTCAACTAAATGCTTAAACATTTCTTTTGTAACATTTTTCCTCGTTTTTTGATTGGCATTGCTATTTTCTCTTCCATCAATAGATTACATATAGTTAATATTTGTCTATTAATAATAATTATAAAAAATTAAATTTAAATCTAGATAATTGAATAATTAGATAAATAATAATTTAATCAACCAGTAAATATAATAATAAAATTTAACAAAGACCTAATAAAAAATTAAGTAAAAAAAAGAGGGTAGATTGTACCTTAAATAAACCAACATTGAATGTAAAAAGTCTTTGTCTTAAGTATTTTTAATCTTGTTAACCAGGAAATAGAAACAATTTGTTTTATAAAAACTGTACTTTTTTAAAAGGCATTTAAGAATGAATAAAACACCCATATAAAAATGAAGAGACACGCATATAAAAATAAATAACCCTGTAACATGAACTAAATTGTAATTATTTCACTATTATTAAAAGGTCATTGATTTTGGTGTCTCTCTGACTTCAAACCCCTGGGCTAATATCACTAGTAGAGTTATAAAAAGGATCTGTGATTGGACCATTTCTCTTCACCTTGGTTGTCAACAGTATGTCAGTCCTTGAACAATCTAGAAGTCTCTTAAACTTTTATAATTTGCAGGAAGAAATTTTAAGTGCTAAAATTAATGTCAATGATGCAAAAACTCAGTTGATTGATTTCTCCTTTGAAGCATCCAAGATTTTGCCAATATTTGTTGTAGGCAGTAAAGTTAGAAACTCAACTCTATACTCAACTCAACACTATACTCAAACTCCTTGGTGTGACATTACAAAATGAGCTTAAGTGGAAATGTTGCACTAGGATGTCTGCTATCCACTGCCTAGCATCATTTGGTATTCTTCCTGATTTAATATGGAGATTTTTTCTTGCCTTAGTCTTTTTGCACATTGCTAATGCCTGGCCTGTGTTTTGTAATACCTCTAGTTCTCAATTCATTAGACTTTTGCCCATAGAGAAACATGAAGCAATTCTATGCAACAAGCGCCCGTGTTCAAATCAAATCTCAAAGTGTCTTAAAGGCATCTGATTTAACAAAAAAAGTTGCCAAATTGAATGCTCACTTTCTTCAAACATTGTTTTTAGTTAGACCTTAATCTTGAAGTCTTAAGAATTTAGATAAGCTGCAACTTCTGTACCCAAAATCAACTCAATTTATAAAATAATTTGCAGGTTTTTGTAAATTCTCATAAATACCTAGATATTGTATTTAGTTATAAAGGAAAAAATAATAAAAATTTGACTAGTAGAAAAAAGTACATATAAGTAAAACATACAAGTTAAAAAGAATCATGAAATAACTTTGTATTTTGTTTGGAAACCAGTTGAAATCAAGTTACTAGCAGAGTGACCTTATTCCAAAAATGTACTTCTTTTATATTTATAATATTTTAAAAAGGACTTATTATTTGCATAAAGTATGCTTAACTTTGCAGCGTGCTCTTTGTCAGATGAAATAGAATTATGGTATAAAGTTGCTGAAACATTTCTTGCAAATATTACACTTTTTGTTAAAATCTAATAATCTATTATCTAATAATTCACAGTGAGTCCAGTGTATTGTTATTATTAATATTAGTGATGTACCAATTTCACATTTGTGACTAATGCTGATACAGATACCAATACTTGAACAAAAATAAAAAGCATATCTATACTATATATAGTATACTATATATATATATATATATATATATATATATATATATATATATATATATATATATATATATATATATATATATATATATATATATATATATATATACGTATTCTATATATGAAGAGTGTATTTTCAAAATGCGGTATATCCATTTTTGTGGTATTGAGATAATTGACTTTTTTCGCCACACCAACATGTCTCGTATATTTGGAAAAATTATTGTTTCTTAATGTATATATACATAAAGTATATTATATAATGTTAATAAATATTATTAAATAAAAAAATTAATTTTTTTTTTCAATAAGTTTGCATTTATTTTCAAAATACTGTATATCCAATTAAAGCTTGTTAGCAAAATGCGGTATATCCATTTTATAAAGATGTTATGGAAAGTTTTTAAACTTTAAAAGACCTGAATAAGTTTTAATGATTAATTTTATTTAACATATTGAACAAATATGTGTATTTAATGTTTGGTCATTATATTTTATTGATAATGTGAATGTAAACAATGTTTTATTAAAGTAATGTAAACTATTACATTTCACAATTCGCAATTGTAAATTTATATTTGTTTCGGAGAATTAAATATGGACAATAAACAATAATATTTTTTTAGTGTTGTGTAGTTGTAACAATGATGATCACTATTTTTAAGTCTCCATAGAACTAATGGACAATTAATATAACACAAAAGTCATCGTTATATTTTTGAGCGAAATAAAATTTTAAAAATAAAAGACTGCAATAGCCTCATTTTATTTGCAACAAAGCAATTGTCAGTTTAACAAAAAATAAAAAGGAAGTATTATTATTGAATGCTTTCCATTAAAAAACAGGTAACAAATATATTTAAACTTATTAATTTAAGTTGCCTTTTTAATATATTTTCTATCATTATTCCATGATTCGTTCAGTTAAACAAACAAAGCATGGTAGTTTAAACGAACACTAGAATTAAGAAATGCTTTTCTTTTCTTTTGTTTCATACATCATTTCTTTTTTTCTATGTGAAATAGGATATTAGGTAACGCATTAATCTTGTCCATCGCAATCCGCCATTTCTTTAACGCAACTTTAAAATATTTGCGCTTGCGCAGAAGTAATATACATTTGCCACGGATTGGTCAAAATTAAATACCGCATTTTGAAAACAAATAAAAAATTTTATACTGCGTTTTGAAAATAAATGTTTTTTAGAAGTAAAAAAATATTGGGTTATACTTCGTTTAGCATATATTCGGACACAATGTCTGCTTGGTCCTTATAAACTAAAAATAAACCACACAATTTCTAAAAAATTTTTGAAATGGCGTTTACCGCGTTTTGAAAATAAACTTTTCATATATTTAGCTAAGATGTATACTATATATATATATATATATATATATATATATATATATATATATATATATATATATATATATATATAATATATATATATATGTAGCGTATATAGTATTTATATATATATATATGTATATATATATATATATATATATATATATATATATATATATATATATATATATATAGCGTATATATATATAGCATATATATATATATAGTATAGCGTATATAGTATATATGTAGTATACTATATGTACAGCATATATAGTATACTGAAATGTAAGACTGTCAACTAAAAAAATCCTCATCAATCTAAAGAATTTTTTTTAATTTAATATGTTGTTATTTTTATAAAGCAGGATGAAAAATGTTAAAAAAGGAATTGGTTAGAAAATGAGCAAATCAGTAATGTTGATAGAGATGCTGATTGTATACAAAATAAAATTAATTGTTTAAAATAAGTAATATTGTTTCTAAAAAAATATTGAAATTGATGAAATGTTATTAAACATTTTATTTTGAAACATATATCTTATGGTATCTGAATAATAGTGGATAAATATATTTTTAATTATAAAAACACAAATTATACACAAAACAAAATAATATACCATAAAAATGTTTTTTTTTTTTAACATTATACTATATAAAAAAAAGGAAACACACATATATATATATATATATATATATATATATATATATATATATATATATATATATATATATATATATATATATATATATATATATATATATAGACACACACACACACTTTATTTATCTGATATCGTGGCAATTCTATGACATAGTTTTGAAATAGTTCACTAATATTAGATTTTAAATTACTTTATATAAAAATTCTATAATGTATAACAAAATAAACCCTAATAAAATATAGTTAAATAAAGCTTTTGTTCATGAATTATTATTTGTTGAAGATGTTTTCTTTATGCCTATATTTTTAGGAAATTAAAAGAAAAATGCATGGAATACTGATGGCACCAAAAAAGTTTATGTCAATTCCTGAAAAAGTGAAAATTAAAATCCTCAATGAATTTAAAATAGATAATAAGGAAAAGTTAGAAGTGGTTGTTGATCTTATATTTGAGAAAGCAGTTAGCGATCTTGTTTTTAGTTTTGAATATGCCAACTTATGTCATTGCATAATTGATTGTGTATGTTTTTATATCTTAATTTTCAATTAATTTATTTTGTTTTAATTTGATCAACTCTCCTATAACGCGTTAATTGGAAACCGTTTTATATGAACTCGATTTGGTAAATGCATCTGTTAAAGACCATGTTATGAGAAACACAGAAATTATCAAAATAATATAATTTTTGTTATAACTTAAATTGCGTTATATGGAAACTTCAGCTGTGTTATATAGAAACCACGTTGTAGGAAACACAGAAGTAATATAAATCCATTCGTACCGCGTTGTATAAAATCTTAGAAATATATAATTTTTTAGATATAAACAAATTGTGCACAAATAAACTTAATTTAATCTAATTTTATTGCAAATAAAAAAAGTGAATTTAAACAAATTGTTTCCAACAAAAAACTAAAATGATAGAGTTCTGTTCTTATTCGTCATCGCTGTCAAATATTAGCCATCTAATCCATTTCTTTTCTTTTTTCTAATTGGACAGGAATGGCGTGCAATTAAGCGCTATTGCTGACCACGCAAATGATTTTATTTCTTGACAACTCGACCACGATTGCTTATATCTTTTGATGATTTAAAAATTTCAAAAATGCGCTGAATGTAGAAACGCTAAGTTAAACTTAAACTAGGAAAAAAGTTAAAAAAAAATAATGAAAAAAAAAAATTCCTAACGAAAAAAGAAACAAAAAAAAATTATTTACGAAAAATAAATTATATATAAACAAAAGTTAGTCGTTGTTCTCAATTATAATTATATCTTAAACAATGTTAGTTTCTAAATGAAATAACAATAAGTGTAAACAACAACAAAATAAATGGGCTGATGAAATGCGATGAGTTATGCCCCATTGTTGTAGAAACTCTTTTGTTTCTCCAGAGGTGAATTGAGGACCACCGTCGGTTGAAATTTCTTCTGGGACTCCAAATGTTGTAAATAGTTTACGTAAGCACTTGATAAGACCTTTTGCACTCATTTCTGATGTTCCTGATTTTATTCTGTAGGCTTCGGTCCATCCAGAAAGTCCATCTCCAATGACCAGATAATCCCAGCCACGGAATTCAAAATAGTCAGCAAATATGCATTCAAATGGTGTCACAGGGATGTGAGGTCGGATGGGTGGTAGTCGTGCATTAGAAGGTGCATTTCGATTACAGCTGCAACAGTTATCGCGCTAACTTAGTATGCTGTGAGTGATACCTGGCCAGAAAACAGTGGCTTGAGCTCTGGCTGTCATTCCTGATACTCCTTGGTGGGCTGAGTGTAGTACGTACAATATCTCTTTCCGTAGAGTAGGTGGGATTACAATTCTGTTGTTTTATATTATAACCGCATTGGACACCATCAAGTCATTGCGGTATTCCCAGAACGGTAAAAGATTTGGTATGAAGTTATTCTTATTTTTTAGGAAACCGTTTTCTATTGCTAACATTAATGCTTTAAAATCGGTATCCTTTTCTGTCTCTGCTTTGACACTATCCCATGTTACTGCAATCATTTTATCTTTGTCGTTTCATATCGAGGCTATTATTAGTGATTCTGTGTTGTCAAAATCGGTATTTTGATTGCAAGTGGCTGAATTAACTGATTCTTTTGTGTTCTCTGCAGGGTAACGAGAAGTAGCATCTGCTGCCAGGTTTGTTTTTCCTGGTTGATGTTGGATGGTAAATTTCCATAGCATAGTAAAGTTCTCTGTTTTAGTCGGAAAAGTCGTGTCTTAGCAATTTCATCTAAGGTCCTATCTCCTAATAATTTGACAAGTGGTTTATGATCAGTTACTACCATAAGGTTATCACTACCTTGTGTGAAATATTTAGTCTGCTCCAGGCTCCATGCCACTCCTAGCATTTCGCCCTCAACTGGTGCATATCGTTGTTCAGCAGATGACAGGAATCTGAACCCCTGCTAGGGTTATTTTCCATCCGTCTATACAGCAATCTGGGGAGTCCGATTTACATTCATAATGTTTTTGGCTTAGGTAATATCCTATTCCCAATTTTGACCAGTCGCATCTTATACAGGTCTTCTTGGTAATGTCAAATATTTGGACTCCATCTTTAATTGCATTGATGATTTTTTCCTTTGACACGTTGAATAAAGTGTTGAGTTCGTCCGACCAATAAAATTTTGATTTAGGGCTAAGCAGAACTCTGAATGGAGCCATAGTTTTTTGAAGTTGAGCGTAATGTAATGCTTGGGTCACTAAGCCGAACCAAGATCGGATGTCTGTTATTGAGGATGGTGTTGGAAATGATCTAATGGCGTCAATACATTTAGGTAGTGGTTCAACTCCATTTTCAGATATTCTGAAACCTGCAAAATCCACTATTCTTTTAGCAAATTGGAATTTTTGTGGGTTCAAAATGAACCCAGCTTTATCAACAAGCTCAAGAAATTCGATTGTCCGCCACCAATGTTTGACTAGGTCATCGTAGTGGATGGTGTCATCTACACATCTTTGTTTGCCAATAAAGTCTGCTAAAATTTCGTCGAAACGTCTGTTGTAGCCATCTCCACTAGATACAAAACCTTGAGGAGCTCGGATGTATCTGTAGCGCCCAAAAGGAGTAATGAAGGTGGTAAGATTCCTGTCTTCAACCCGTATGGGGATGCTATGATGCCATTCCATGCATCGGTTACAGTTTTCCATGAATTTCTTGGGACTGAATGAGTTAGTTGGAAAGGCGATTTCATTGCATGAGTTTCTCTGTAGCAGTACTTGTTTAAAGAAGATAGATCAACAGTGTGATGAGGCCCACCGTCATGCTTACGTGTGATAACCATTCTATGACACCATGTTGTAGGTTCTCCTAGAGGTACCTTTTCAATAACTCCAAGAGTTTCATCATGAATTAAATCCTTTTCCACCTGGTCTTGCCAATGAATTGGTATGGTGGCTGGAGTTAATGCTGCAACTGGTTTGGCATTTTCTTGAATTAAAATACTTTATCTGTAATAACTTGTATATATTTTGGTATAATGGGAGGAAATGGAATACCAAATGCAACATAGTCTGATTTGTTAGTAGTCACACGCAGCTGAATTGTAGGATGAACAAGCAATTGAGCTGTGGCCCATCCATCATGGGTAAATATGTGATGGTTTATTCCTGTGCAGGGTCGTTTCACATTGGTCTTCATTTGTGATCTAATTTTTTTATTTGAATGCTCAATTGCACTTAACTTTAACACAAGTCCGCCTGCCTCAGCATCTTTGGTTGCATTCGATTTCTTATCATTTGGGATGATTCTGTTGTTAATTTTAGAAGTGCGAGATCTGAGCTTCTTCCAACAGTCTAGACAAAGCTTGTGGGGTTTTTTGTTCCATCCTCTGGATGTTTCTGTAAATAAACTGTAAGATTCTGAGCAATCTGGACATTTGGCTGTTATATTGGTCCCTTTACTACTCTGTGTATTGCTCTTGTTTTGTTTCCTGAAAGTTGATACACTTGCTGTTGTTGAACTACAGCCTAGTGCATTTCGTGCCATTTCCTTACCCTCTATAAAAGCAATGATATCTGTGACTGAGGCTGTGTCAAGGGAGACCCATTCAAGTACATCTTTGCGGATGTCAGTGTCTGATAGCCCAACAACAACAATGTCTCGTATGATAACATCAGTAAAATCAACAGTTTTTTGTGGGTGGCAGTGGCATTGAACAGTGTAGTTGCAAGTAGCAGCCTTGCCTTTCAGTTTTGCATAAAATGACATAATACTTTCGTTGTGTCCCTGTCTCATTTGAAGGAGTTCTGCTCTTCTGACGCTAGTGGCTACTGGGATAACGACCAGTTTTTTCATTGCTTTTAGAAATGCCTCATCGTTTTCATTAATTATCATGGGATTTTCTTTTAGGAGTTGATTTCCAAGGTCGTCCTCACAGCACTGAAATAGCTGTGCTGTTATCTCTTCTTGTCTGATGTCTGTACATCTCTTTAACAATGTCCAGCAACTAATTAAGTTTGCCCACTCTTCTTCTGAGATATCCTGACTGATGTTGGGGCGATCCATTTTAGGTGCCTTGTGTTTTGAGAAGGCTGAATGAATGTCAATCGAGTTTGGAGAATGGTGAAGCTGGTGACTGTTGAATAATGCAATTGCAATTGCTTTGCTGGGACCTTCAATGACGACATTGCATCCTGGGGCCTGGCAAGGTAAGCTTATTGTGGACATAATGTAGGAAAGAAAAAGGTTAGCAAAATCCTACCTTTTGTATGTACATTACCAATTCAAATGAATATGTAAGTGAATTACAATTTCAACCACTGACAAGAAGTTTTTATCTTGGAAATACCAGTGTTTCTTTAAAATTCCATAGAATGCATAAGAAACTAACATAAACAAAAGTTAGTCGTTGTTCTCAATTATAATTATATCTTAAACAATGTTAGTTTCTAAATGAAATAACAATAAGTGTAAACAACAACAATATAAAACAATATAAAAACAAGAAATGACTAATGTCACTATTTTTACAATATAAGCATTAAAATAAAAATTAAAAATATAAACTTAAACTCGAAGCGAAACTTTTTTTTACATTTTTAATTTTTTTTTTTTTATTATACTTCACCTCCTCAAGGCCGAAAAGGCCACTACAGACGAGGAGGCTACTTATTTTGTGGCTATAACCCTCTCTCAACTCTATAACTCCGAAACACGAACCTTGACGAACAAGGCCACTGCGCAGAGAAACGAGTTGAGCGCGGTACTACCAGGGACGTGGTGGGGATCGAACTCAGAACCACTCGTTTATGAAGCGAGCGCTCTACCACTACACCACTACCGCATTACCGGTATTACCGCAATTACGTTTGAAATAAATCTTTTTAAACGTTTTATTAAAGTTACACAAAACTACTAATGATCGTTTAATAAATGAACAAATTTTATCAAATTTATTAAAAAGTATTGTATTTAATATTTTAAAATTGTAAACATTTATTTTTTCAAAAAAATTGCAAAAAAAATTGGTTTAAAAAAATATCTTAGTGCTCTAATTAGTAAGT